AACGGTCAACATAATGTAGAAGAAAAAAGAACAGTATTGAAATAAAGAATAAGGTAACAAGAATGGCATACAATAGGAGATACAGTTCATTTAGAAACATAAACAAGAAAAAACTACTTTCACTTAAGGGATTTTTTCTCAAGTTGGTAAATAATGTATTAGAAAATTACGTCTGCGTTGCCGCTGGTTTCTACTTTGGTTCATGTCTGATAACATTTCAAGTCACCGTGATGCAATATCTCTAAGATCGTAACCATGGGTTGTGATGGACTGACAGATGTCCGATTTAAAAAAGACTTTCATACATCAATGGTATATCATTAACTGGTCAATTCTCTGCTTTTTTCAATCAGCCTCATTATGGGCAGTTGTGAATTATCACAATATAAAAACCACTGGGAAAACATTTGTTTAAAAAAAATTCAATATTCAAAAATACCCCTATATACCATTGAAAATTTAAGATTTTTACTTAAGAAATTGCTTTTATACTTTTAATTATTTATTAACTGTGTGAGGTCGGCCCACGGGTGAACTCGTGGAAGATCTAAGAAGTTCAAAAAGAGACGAAGATATTACATCCAATCGTCTTTTGGAAGAATAAGGACTAGACACGCATGACATTGATCACCACCCAGTGATCAACCAATTGTGATTACATCTCAGTCCTACAGGAGGTTAGTCACGGCTCGGATAGCTCAGTGGTAACGTCTCTGACTGTGAAGCTGGGTGACACGAGATCGAATCCGCCAGGGAGCACCAGTTCCCTCAAGATTACAGGCACACCTTGCTGGTGAGTGCCAAGTAGCACGAAACCCGTGTCCAGGGTTTCCTGTCGACTACCTCCAACCACCATTTAATCTCAATATATAGCCCCCGAAATGTCGAGTCACCTAGACTGGTGGCCACATTGCAACATGGTCGATAGCATCCGATCTGCACTAACAAGGACTAGACACTCATGACATTGATCGTCACCCAGTGATCAATCAATTGTAATATTCCAGAACCCCTAAATGTAGGTTCCTTATTAGACAAATACTAATAACCCTCTGTATGCGAATTGGAGGACTATAGTGATAATTTCGTTTTTACTAAAACCTATGATTACCTAACAGTTTTATACCATTACTGACACTGTTTTTTGAATAACATTCCGTTTACTTATCACCTATCTTCTCATTTGCGACTTGGAGGGTTCTAGCGTTATTGTTTTTTTCTTAAATGATAAAGAAAATTTTAAACTTCAGAGAAATATATTTAGTACCGTTTAGTGTCCACTTCAAATTCCATTCAGAAATAGACATTGATGATGTCTAAGACTATTTTTGTAAGCTTAACAGTCAATCATATACTTCAAAGTAAGTTAGATTATCAAATATATCAACCGGAATTTTCAGTAGAAAATTTCTTTAAATTTAAGACACAATGTTTCCGGTTTTATAATAGTAAAAAACGATGTATTCAGATAGGAGTTATGTAATCAAAGAATTTTATTACACTATTATTTTAAATCACTTTTATGATAATCCAGAATCTTCTGTCTTATCCTTTATTAATAGTTGAATTCATGAGTCGATCTAAGCTAGACCATTGTTGAAAACCTAACTGTTCTAGTATGGGACTCCTGGAGTTCTAGTAAGAAGCCATGAACAGTGAAGTCCAATCTGTTTTGGGTATGAGACAATTATTCACCTCAGATAATGGATGAAAGGTTGTGCAAAATCATGGATTGATTAAAGTTAAACATTAGCACCACTGGAAGCCAGCCAGCTCAGTGGTTTAAAGATTAAACATTCTCAAGCGTGACCGAAGATTTTGGGTTCGAGTCCCACGTTCGGTATCGTCGATACGTTCTGTTTAGCAGTCACATACTAGGACGAAACGTCCATTCAGTAATATCAGGTTTTCAATAGTGGTCTAGCTTAAATCGATTCATGAATTCAACTATTAAAATTACTACAGTCTCCGCAAATCCTCACTCCGATTATCCTGTTACGATATTCAGTGTCTACCAAATACTAAGTATAACTTTTCATGAAGTTATTTATTTAAAACTAATATGGAATAAAAACCCTACAGGGAAACTAAATAGTGTGCTGTAATTTTTGCTTCGTTCTATATAATATATTACTTTGTACTTGTTTTCTTGAATTTGTCAGCAAATTACTATGTTAATTGATAATCATTTATCGTGCGCTTTCATTTGTTATTCAGCTTTTTTCTCATGATTTGTGTCCTCTTTACAATATACAACAACTAACTCCTTGTACGTAACAATATGACTCCGATTCAGTGTTATGCCATTACACTTCTGTGATAGTAAACTGAAGTCAATAATGATCAACCATGTGAATCTTACTAAGCATACTGTATAAAAAGTCCGTTTATAGACAATGATTTATTTTCAAAACTATTAGTTCTAAAAATCTTTCTTGAAGAGTCTCTTGAAAAGTTGAGTATTTTACATAACTAACATTTTGCTGACGTGATAAAGTATAGTGTAAGAACTTACAACTAAATAGTGTTAAGCAAAGATGAATAGTGACTAGCAGTAGAAACTACGATGTGCGTTTCATCCTATTTGTAGCTCGTCAGCTGGATGTACCCTCTAGCCACTATTCATCTTTGCTCAAAACGCTTGTGACTTAAGGCTATATCGAGGCAATCTGCACAGAATGCACATATGCCAACAAGAGACTGATTAATTGCAATCCTAAATAACAATGGAAAGATTCAAGTAAAAAAACACCAAGTGAATTTAAACAATGTTAGATGAGAAAATCAATTTGTTAACAAATGAGTAATAATAATCTTTTTAGGTCATGTTTGGTATTCAACCAAAGCTAATGTTAAAAATTACCATATAGTGAATTAGAACAATATATCTAAGTGAACAATATTGTTTTCAACGAAATTGTCACCAATGAAGAGAATGTTTAGTGCAAGCCAACCTCTGTCTATCGTTCTCGAGCCGACTTATAAGGATTCCTTAACTAAAAGAAAACTTACCTGTTACATCTATGTGTATTTACAAATTCAGCTGCTTCTGTGAACAAAACTATATTGGGCGCATAACCAGACAACTGAACTAATGAGTTAGCGAACACCTTCCATCATGGTTAGGAAAGGGTATCCTCAAAACAATACGAAGTTTTGTTCTATCAACTTAATCAATAGCAGTCATGTAGTACACAGAAATAGGTCATTTGAAGCGATTTATCGTATTCCTACAAGCTTTACTTATGGGGTACGATATCGTCTCTTACTCATAGTAGAAGCTATTGGGATTCGAGCTATCAATCCAAATGTTTGTATTCATAAGAAATTTATAGCACCGTTTTCTCTTCCTTAATAAAACATTTTGTTTATTATCATTGTTCGTTTATCTTCTTTCGCCTCCCTCCATTTTCCTTGTTTTTAAACATATGCTTTATTGTAAAGAATGATGGATAGTGGCTAACAGTGGAATCCAGGACGCGCGTTTCGTCCTACTCGGGGCTCGTCAGCTTGACGTACCTGCATATCAGAGTTGATGTTCACTCTGGAACTCGAACCTAGTACCGTTCGCTTCAAATGCCATCTGATTATCCACTCAGCTACTGAGTCCTGAAAGCCACTTTCCTGTGCAATCGGGCAAAGTTTAAATTCACTTGGCATTGTTTGGCTTGTATCTTCCCATTGAGTTTTTTTAAGACTGTAATTGATCAGACTGATCAATTACAGTCTTAAAAAAACTCAATGGGAAGATACAAGCCAAACAATGCCAAGTGAATATGCTTTATTGTTCAATTATCTGAACAATTCTTATTATGTAATCTTATGGTTTGTTTCAGCATCTGTATTTTCCAAATCATTGCCCTGTTTCCCATTACAAACATGGATTCAAGGCCTTGTTTTCTTATCACAACTAGTACACCTGTCATTACACTATCAATTTGTACTTTTTATTTATTATATTTATTTATGTAATCTATTCCACCGTCATCATTGATAAACTGCATTGGTTCAATAATTTCGTATAAGCATATAGATATTTCAGTATATTCGAGCAAAGCCTAATAAGGATCTAATTGAAAACAATATAATTCACTTATATATACGTTGTTCCAAGTGAAAATCAATGTGCCTCCCTTATTAAGAAATAAACCATCATGGTGAACTCTCTATTGATAGCATGTATTTGAAATCAATAACTTGAAGTTTTGATTATGCACTAAGTCTTCTACACTTATAAACGTCTGATACTTAATATATTCTGTAGTGAGTTGAAGCCATATCCATTGAAGGGGAAATATTTGTTGATCAGATTGAATGGAAAAACTATATATCCACTAGATTTTAGGCTCTAATCTCATTCAACTCATACTTTTACTAAATTGTAAGCTGGAAAGGATTGCCCAGGATAGGGTTGGATGGAGAATGCTGGTGAGCGGCCTGTGCTCCTTCACGAGGAGTAACAAGCGTAAGTAAGTTAAAATATGTATCTTGCAGATCACTGAGCTATGTTTATATAACAGACAATACTTGTGCTTTTTGAATAATATACAATGTTTTATATTCAATCAATCCAACTGAATAGGGTTACTGTCAATAAAAAATAGATAGTTCGGTTAAAATATAAAGAGCCTAAATTTTGCCATTTAATGTCATTTACTATTCGAAATTGTTTATATATACTTGGACGAAACGGTCATCTTGTACTTCTAGGTTTTCAGTGGTGGTCTAACATTGATCGGTTCATAATTTTGATGAAATTCCAAAATCTCCAGAACCTCTTACTGCAAATGTTTATATTATTGTGCCATTGATATTCAGGACTGAGTTTTTATTGATCTTTGTTGACGTCCAGAACAAATATCTCGTTAGTGACATTTTACTAATGACTTCAGTTAATTTGAACTGTGACTAAAAGCAGAATACATGAATGTAATGAAACGTACACTATTATTTGAATTTATAATTTTTTAACAAACTGTTTGCTGCTATATATTTTTTAGAATAGTTTTCTAACAAAATGGACTATCCAGATCCAGATGCCGGTTATGTGGATGAAGATGAAGAAGAGATACCAATGGCTGAGAGGGAATTGGCTGAAGATGCTGAATGGAAGCTTATTCAAAAAAACACTTTCACTAGATGGGCAAATGAACATCTTAAACCTAAAAATGTTACTGTAGATGATTTACAATTTGATTTAGCTGATGGTCTACGTTTGATTGCATTGGTTGAGTCATTATCTGGGCAACAATTTAAACATGTTAATAGAAAACCAAGTTTTCGTACCCAGAAATTAGAAAATGTTACAATGGTTTTAAGATTTCTTGAAGAGAATGAAGGTCTTCGTCTAGTGAACATAGGTAATTTATTTGCCATATTTTTTCAAATCCCATTTTCTAATATTTTTTTGTTAGTGATACTAATACTGACTGGTACTTATTAATAATATAGTTTCACTTAAATCATGAATACCTGAAATTAGATATAAGTCTAGCTTGTGGATTATGTGTGTCTAAAACCCTGAGATAAATAAATATGTTTACCACTCAAAATATCGTAGCTATTTGTTTTCTAATTTATGAGATGGTGGAGATTTTTAGCTCAAGTTGATGATTTTGACGGAATCTTGTTCTCTGAGCTGGATGATTTGGTCGTGGAGCTTTCATCGTTCTTCTGAACGACGTTTGTGCTGGTGATGTCGTTCAGAAGAATGATGAAAGCTCCACGACCAAACCATCCAGCTCAGAGAACAAAATCCTATCAAAATTATCCACTTGAACCATAAATCTTCTCCTTCATCTCTATTAACGGCTTTGTTTGAAGGGAAAGTTTACAGGTCATTACTTTTTAACAATTTGTACATTGATTTAACATCAGGTTCAGATCAAATCTGAACTTGAAATATTCTAGTTTTTGATGAAATTCCAAGAATTTTTGTATGAATTAAAGAATATTAGAGGGTTGGGAGTGATTGGGTCGAGATGCGCTTTACTTGGTGTCACAGTTTAGGTTGTTACTATTAAACCATTCAAGATGAAGTTCATAGCTTGTATAGCTGAGATATCTACACTGTCAATGTCTAGTTGTTTAGTGTTAGCTTGATACGATCGATTCGAATTAGTAAGTGGTGTACTTTTTAAATATTTATTATGTTATCATTCACAAATCAAGTAGGATTGAGGAATATGGTCATATTTTACATTTGCCATTTCCCCATTATGCTTTTTGCACTCGATTATATGCTTCTCTTACATGTGATTTCTATCCAACAATGTTTTTATTAAATGATATAAACACACTTCATTATTATGGGCAATACATTTTAAGCTGGTAAAATCTTTGGATTCTACCAAGTTGTTGAACATTGCTCAACAATATCCTACTCAATAGTTTGGCGGTTATTCATCCGAAAACCGAAGTGTGTCAATTTGATTTCTAGAAAAGAATCAGTTATATAATTCATTGTATTTCCTCTATTTGAAGACTTCTAAGAAAATAAATCTACATTGGATTGGTTGAAGTTAGACATTAACACCGTTGGATGCCGATTAGCTCAGTGGTCTAGTTAGTGAAGCGCTTGGCGCGAGACTGATAGGTCCTGGGTTCGAATCTCGCAGGGTGCGGGATCGTGGATGCGCGCTGCTGAGGAGTCCCATACTAGGACGAAACGGCCGTCCAGCGCCTCCACGTCTAGCTTCAATTGACTCATGATTTCAATCTGTGAAATTTCTAAAATCTCCACAAATCCCTTCTGAAAATAAATCTAAATTATGTTAATAAATGCTTAAAACCCTGAATAATATAAACAAAACCACTTATCTTACTAAATGGCACATTCAATTCAACAGTTTATATAGAAGACTGATCTAAGTCAGATGGCCGTTGAAAACTAAAAAGCACCAGAAAACTGTTTCGTTTTTTATATGAGAATCCTCACTAGTACATATTCACCGCTCTATGCCGTAGATTAGGTATTCACTAAAAGAACTGAAGGTCAGGAGTTTGGTATCCAGTAGGTTTGTGAGTTCTCGATATTAAAGAGTTTTATACCATAAAGAAACAGCTGTTCAGTGCTTTCCGGTTTTTAATGGTTGTTAACTTATTTCAGTCCAAGATACAAATTTTATGACCCCAACAAAACCTTCATTATAAAAATCATAAGTTATCTAATTTCATAAGCCTTTGATTATCATATTTATTTTAAAATTTATTAAACACTTCCATATTCTTTTCTTTATACAGATAGTTCAGATATTGTTGACTGTCGTAGTAAGCTTATACTTGGTTTAATTTGGACTCTTATTTTGCATTATTCAATAACAATCCCACTTTGGGAAGGTGAACCTGATTTCGGAGTGAGTTGAAAAAAAAAGTGTATTATTCCTTGATTTTTCTGTTGATAGTCATGATGAAAATAGTCATTTTAATGAACATCATCTTTTTAATCTCAACTCTTATGAGGTTAATAACTATTCACTGCTGAAAAATCACTAGAAATTTATCATTATAAATCTTAAAATGTTTTCTTGTTGCTCAGTATTAATGCAATGGGTGTTACTCATACGATTGTTTGTAAGTCGTGTGTAGTGGAACATGACTTCGAAGTTGCTGCAGTTGTCAGACGGAGTGAAGTATTTCAATGCATCAAAAGCACGGCATTAGCATAATTCGTAGAGATTAGACGAGAAGATTGTTCAGTATTGTACAACGCGAATGGTATATTGATAACATTTATATCTGCTAAAATTCAGTTTGAAATGTTTTGGTTTATTCCATTGTTAATACTTTTGGCTGAAACTTGAACGGGATAAACGAAATCAAGAAGTAAGTAGCTATCTGAACTCAGAAGTCGAATGAGTAACACGATGGTGTTTGAGGTTAATGACCTCGGGTTTGAATCTCAGAGTAGACATCAACTCGGGAATGGAAGTATACTCAGATGAATAAACTTAAGTCTTGGATTCCATTGCTAACTCTATCCCATCTATTCTATATGACTACGATAGTTTGTTTCATGGATCCAAATTATGTAAAGCTTAAGAATCTCCTTTCCTTTTCTGATAAATGCCAACTAATAGTAAATCTAGATCCCAAATCTCACCTCTGATTACACCTAACCAATAAGTGTCATACAAAGTGTACCAAATTTTCGACGGATGAGCGTATTGTAACTCGGTTAACGAAATTCGATCACTAGCAAAGAATTAATATCAACAATATAGACAAGTTTCTATACCACACTCTTACAACAATAGCTGAATGATCGAATACTATTCATTTAAAAAAGTTAATTGTAGTACATTAATGACAAAATTACACCCGTGGGTATCTGATAACGAAAAGGTAGCTGATATTTTATTGACTTCATTTCCTGATAAACATAGAATGATTCCTTTCTCAAGCCTGGAAGCACCGGATAGCCGTTTCGTCCTATTGTGGGACTCCTCAGCAGTGCGCATCCACGATCCCACCTTGCAAGATCCTAATCCATGGCCTATCGGTCCACAATAGGACGAAACGGCAGTCCAGTGCTTCCAGGTTTCCCATGGTGGTCTAGCTTCAATTGACTCATAATCTCAACCATTGAAATTGCTATAATATCCCCAAAACCCCTTCTGATACTAATCAACATATGCTCACTAGTGACTATCTCCAAGAGTTATTTCCGGAAGTTCTAGTGAGAAGCAGTGATCAGTGGAGTTCAACCGGGTCTGTTGTGAGGTGGTAACTCACTGAAGACATTGCTGGACGGTAGCGCAATTTCGTGGATTGGTTGAAGTTAGATATTAACACCGTTGGATGCCAACCAGCTCAATGGTCCTAATGTTAAGCGTTTGCGCGCGAGACTGATAGGTCCTGGGTACGAATCTCGCGAGCCGGGATCGTGAATGTGCACTACTTAGGAGTCCCACAATAGGACGAAACGGCCGTCTTGTGCTTCCAGGTTTTCCATGGTAGTCTAGCTTTAACTGACTCATGATCTCAACTATTAAAATATTATTTGTCATTGTTTTCAAGGAGAAATAAATTTGATGCATAAACGAGCCGTTTTGATTGTAAAAAGTACATTATACAGAAATCAATTTCATTTGTAATAACGACACAACGGTGCAAGGCAGGTTTAAGTGATATATATACATATGCATATATTGTTGATGCGTGTTTGAAGAGTTCATTCATAATAAATGATAGATTGAAAAGTGGGAAACTTAACAAAGTTCTTAATATAAAACAGATTTGAACATAGTTTTCGTTACAAGTTAAATTTAGCTGAATATTTATAGAAGATGAGAAAACCATTAAAACAGATTCTTCCTAATATATGTTACTTGCCTAGAAATCAAACACACAGTGTTACACAAATCAAAATTCAATTCCTTCACTTCTCACGATGTTTATTGTACAATTAGACCACAAAATAGTAACCTATTCCTTTTCAATTTTACCTACTTACTTACACCAGTTACTCCCGAAAGAACATAGGCCACCGATCATCATTCTACAATTCACTCTGTCCTGGGCCTTCCTTTCTAGTTCGATCCAATTGTTGTTCGTTCTTCTCATGTCTGTCTCTATTTCTCGGCGTAACGTATTATTTGGTATTCTTCTTTTCCTTTCGCCTTCGGGATTTAAAGTGAGGGCTTGCTCTGTGACGCAGTTGGGTGTTTTCCTAAACGTGTATCCTATCTACTTCCAGCGCTTCTTCCTGATTTCTTCCTCCGCTAGAATCTGGTTTGTTCTCTGCCATAGTAGGTTGTCACTGTCTGATAGTGTCTGGCCAACGGATACAAAGTACTTTGCGTAAACAGCTGTTAATAAATACTTGTATCTTCTGGATGATAGCTTTCGTAATTCTCCACGTTTTCGCCTCATACAGTAGAACTGTTTTGACATTTGTATTAAATATCCTGACCTTGGTGTTGATTATCTGTTGTTTTGAGTTCTAGATGTTCTTCAATTGTAGATATGCTACTCTTGCTTTACCGATCCACACCTTCACATTTGCAATAAATCCACCATGTTCATCAATGATTCTACACAGATATGTAAACGTTTTTACATCCTTCAATTTTAGTTTCTGTCAATTTATTAAATATAGTACTGTAGTTCAATAGATAACTATCACCTCCATTCAATTTCGTTACCAGATTACAAATAGTAACTAAATAATACTATAGAAATATAAAGAAGTACTTCAATCCATTAATTAATTCATTAATTAATTAATCAATCTATCAATCTAATTTCAATAAATTCCTCATTGTAGTTTTGATTTATTTTTCTTCGGTTAGTTGCTTTTCCTAAAGATGGAACTAAAGTTGATTTATGGATTTAATGTTCTTTCTTTTTTTTTATTATTATCGACGATCAACAGAGATTTATTTCCTTTGAATGGGTACAATATAGTTTGTTATGTTTACGCCCACAACACAATAAAATGTAATGTGTGTGTGTGTGTATGTGTGTGCATATTATGGTTTCCATTCAAAATGCCAATAAATGACTGTTATTAAATTCATTCTATTACACTTTATTTGTTTATTCTATATACTAAGTTGGTAAATTTTTTAAAGAAAAAATATACTGTACATCATTAAGTACTTGGCTAAATGTAGGGGCAATATCTAGTTATGATGCTTGTGTCACATAAATATTCACGCCTGTATTTACGTACGTATATATATGTAAGTTGGCCTGTTGTCAGGACTAGTTCAGTTTGATCAATGTTTTGCAGTTGATTTCTAATAATCCTAGACGAAAGTTAATTCATTGATTTTTTTTTGCTCTGGAAAACACTTTACTATTCAATATAGTTAGTTCATCATTATGACCGTAGTCAGGCGTTTCCTTCCGGTTGATGATATTAAATTGAAATGAAGTATTATTACGAATAGAAATTGATTTATTGAATAAAAATAATAAAATTATAATGGAAATAATAAAAACCAGGTCTGTTGTGAGATAGGAACTCACTGAAGATAATGGTATACGGTGGCGTAACTTCGTGGATTGGTTGAAGTTAGATATTAACACCGTTGGATGCCGATTAGCTCAGTGGTCTAGTTGGTTAAGCGCCTGGTGTGAGACTGATAAGTCCTGGATTCGAATCTCGCGGGAGGCGGGATCGTGAATGTGCACTGCTTAGGAGTCCCACAATAGGACAAAACGGCCGTCCAGTGCTTCCAGGTTTTCCATGGTGGTATAGCTTTAAATGACTCATGAGTTCAACCAGTGAAATTTTATATAATTATTCAATAGCTATTAACCAGTATGAGACAATGATTTGTTATTAATTGAATTGATTTCAAGTGATATTCTATTTATAGATTAGCATATTAAGTAAACTGAGTTAAAGGAGTTGAATGATGATATGTCTTGTCAGTGTTTTCTTCAAAAGTATTCATAGTTGATTACCGATTAGAAGTAGTCAACTAGAGATCCATGATCTACTAACAAAACACGTTAAAAAATAAGATTTTGAAGTAGTCAGAATTTCGATGTGCCTGTAAGGAATCAAATAAACATTTTTAATGAATATTACCACTGTGACATATCTAGGTGATCATACAGACAATAGATTGTATCGTTAGTCCTAAGTAATGTCTGAATTTTTCTAATCAAGTTTAAAGATGTTAAGTGTTTAGATAATTATTTAATTGTATACAAAGTAAAACCAATATTACTTTCTGAGTTCTACTGATCAAATGGCTAAGCATAAAAGATAATGAACATTGTTAAACTCTACTGATCATAGCTTCTCACTAGTACTTAAATAATAATTTTCCGAAAATATGTATAGCGTTGTTTACACAATTGACTGATCATTGGGTGATGATCAATATCATGTGTGTCAAGTCGTTCTTAGTGTAGATCGAATGCTATCGACCAAGCTGGGTGACATGGAGAGTAACAGTCCTCTCAAGACTGCAGGTACATCTTGCTGACGAGTACCAAATGACAAGAAACCCGGGTTCAGGGTTTCCTATCGACTACCTCCAATCACGATTTTATGTCATTTGTCATTTAATAAGCCAAACGTATTTATCAAGCATTTATTAAAATGACTTTAACGAAATATTCCACATATCATTTTCATATTCTGTTTACTTTCGTGGTATGAATCACTAGTTGACAATAGCTAAAGAACATGATAAGTTATTAGCTCTATTTTGTCATGGAAATAAATAAATGTCAATTCAAAAAATGTTTATTATGTGATTTGTTTACCTTTAGAGGTTTTGTAGATGCAGATATAAACGAATTATGAATCCAACAGTACAACCATTAGGACCGAAGTTATTTTACAATTACATAGAAGATAATTTTATGGTTAGCTTATACTCACATAAATATCCATATAAAAACACAATATTTCTTTTGCTTTCAATCATTATTTGCTGCACCAAATGTAAAGTGTGATTGATTTTTTTTTGTTATTGGAGATACAATAATTTGTCATAAGGGGTTTTGTGGAGATTTTAGTAATTTCAGTAATTGAAATCATGAGTCAATTGAAGCTAGACCATCATGGAAAACCTGGAAGCACTGGACTGCCGTTTCGTCCTATTGTGGGACTTCTCAGCACTGCGCATCCACGATCCTGACCCCAGGGAGATTCGAACCCAGAACCTATCAAACGTGGGGGGCGGGATCGTGGATACGCACTGCTGAGAAATCCCACAATAGGACGAAACGGCAGTCCAGTGCTTCCAGGTTTTCCATGGTGGTTTAGCTTCAATCGACTCATGATTTCAACAATAATTTGTGTCATTTTTGGTCGTTTTCTTTGGTGGTTAGAAATGTGAAAATAATGAATTATATTTATTTCTAATAAGCTTTACTTAATTAATTGATTTGGTTATTTGTTATCTATTCTGTAGGCTCAAGGTCCAACACCAAAACAACGTCTCTTATCATGGTTAAATAATAAATTAGCTGATCGACCAGTTAAAAATTTCACAACAGACTGGAATGATGGTATTGCAATCGGTGCACTAGTTGATGCTTGTGCACCAGGTTTATGCCCTGATTGGAGAGAATGGGAACCTAAACAAAATCTACGTAATGCTCGTGAAGCAATGGGTGCTGCTGAACAATGGTTAGATGTTCCACAATTAATACGTCCAGAAGAGATGACTAATCCTAGAGTTGATGAAAAAGCTATGATGACATATTTAAGTCAATTTCCTAGTGCTAAATTAAAAGATGGTGCACCTTTAAGACCAAAATCAAATCCTGGCCTTGTTCGAGCTTATGGTCCTGGTAAGTAGATACACTTATCTAGATATAATTGGTAAATAATTATTTTAACCATTTAAGTTACATTTATCGGATTATATCCTGTTTTCTCATGCTTATTTTCTTTTTTTTCTTTCAAAACACTCAGTACAGACTAATAGGGTCGACTGACTCAAAATTCAGGAACAGATTTTAAGCCAGATATTCTAATAACAACCCTGATAAAATTTTAAATATAATGATAAGGTTTAGTATATGGTTGTGGAGATTGTTGAATTTCATCTAAGTCATGAACAAATCTAAGTTAGACCACCACTGAAAACCTGGAAGCATTGGACAGCCATTCCGTCTTAGTGTCAAACCACACAACTCTTTATTGACAATTAACATGTGTTTGCTATTGACTAGCTTCAAGGGGTAAATGCCGGAGTCCTAGGGAGAAGCTGTGACCAGTGGGGTTCAACTGTGTCGGGTATGAGACCGTTCCCCATCGAATACAATGGAAGATGTTCACGCAATTGGTTGAAATTGGACATTAACACCGTAGGATGCCGGCTCACTGGTTTAGAGTTTGAACGTTCGCTCGAGATAGAAGATCCTGGGTTCGGGTTCCACGTGAAGAATCGTGAATGCGTACTGTTGATAAGTTCCATACTAGAACGAAACAACCGTCTAGTGCATCCAATCTTTCAACAGTGAAAACAAGTGCTATTGAGCACTTATTTCTTTCTATTAAGAACAAATAAAATTAATACCAAGCAAAACATACATTTGTATAGTTACTAAAATCAGCTTTTTCTTAAAGTGAAAAAAAATTCAGGGTTTGTATTTCTAAGGAAAATGGACCCTTTCTACATTTTAAACATTCAGGTGAACAAACAAAGTTGAGTAAAGAAATATTTGTTTCTTCATATTGTTTTTTATATAATTACTAAAAACTTGTGTTCAAAGGTTCTACAATTATTTAATTGATCTGTGACCTCAGTGATCTTAAGATCACGCACTTGTTGTTGGTCCTGAATGTATTTATCTTGACTCCATCCGGGATTCCAGGTTACGACTGTGGACGATTATCATACTATGACCAAATAGCTGTGAATCCTTCTTAGTTCATGATGATTTTCAAGTTAAAATCTATCCCTAATTTTTTTTGGTGCAAACACTACTAGGGTACAACTAGAAAATAAGCAGTAGCAGTAGTCTTTTGCACAAATCAACACCCATGGCTAACTACATAATGATAATGATAGAGACAACAATTTACCGATTGTTGAAAGGCTTTCTGTTCAACAAACAACAAAACTGTATTGCAAATAAACTATCTCAGTCTACATATTATTAATTTTAATATACTTTTTCAATAAGCCCATTTTATTGACAGATTCTGAATAAGTATGGAGTCAGTATCTTTTAATGGGGATAATAGGTTAAAAAAGAAGGGAGACAAAAGAAACTTCTTCTTTAGTAGTTTACAGAAGCTCAGAAATATATTAACCAAAATTAATCAAATAGAAGTCAATTTTCACAATTGATTGATCACTGGGTGATGACCAATGTCATGTATGTCAAGTCCTTATTAGTGCAGATCGAATGCTATCGATCATGATGCAAAGTCAATTTTGCTTTACTTAATCCTCAATAAACTATCTATCACTTTTGAAACAAGGTCATTCAACAGTTACTAGCATAGTGTTGTACTCTTTATTTCATATTAAATAATGTAACGAAATTATTGTCACTGTATAACAATGGTCTGAATCTATAATTACGAACTATTCTATAGGTTTTTGTAGGCAATGATGGATAGTGGCTAGCAGTGGAATCCAGGACTCGGGTTTCATCCTATTTGGGACTCGTCAGCTGGATGTACCTGAATCTCAGAGTTGATGTTCACTCTGGGACTCGAACCCAGTACCATTCGCTTCAAACGGCATCGCGTTATCCACTTAGCTACTGAGTTCTGTTAGCCACTTGCTGGTGCAATGGGGTGAATTATTTGGCTTGTATTTTCGCATTGAGTTTTTTTAAGACTGCAATTGATCAGTCTGTTATCGGCATATGTTTGTTTCAATAAACATGAAGTATAATTTCACGGCCGCTTCACCATTGTAATTATTCCTGCATTAAATATAATCATATAAATACTGACTAGTGGACAATCTGTGTGGTTTTTTTAACTGAAAAGAAATTATTACTTCATTACTTTGTGTATTTCCTGACGACATATATTGATGAATAACAATGTATACATGTCTAAGTGATTGATAAAATCTACCATTGTGACATATAACAATAAATGAGATGAATTCTTAGGTGGTTTTATACAACTCCGTCACTATGCAACAAAGGAACAAGATTAGTCGTACACAAATTCATGTATATTAAATATAATGCATTCGTTTTGTCTATCTATCATATAAAAACATAGAAATAACAAGTCATATTAGCCCAATCTGTAAAGATGACGTGAACAAACAATTTCAATGATTAAGATTACTTCTCTTTCCTTCATCATTTCCAAATATATAATGGTTTTGTTATGGGTTGATATCATTTAACATACCACTGAAAATCAGAGTTCACTGAATAGATGTTTCATCATAGTTCATAAGTCTTCAGGATTGTACGTCTAAAACCCTACTAATGACCAGACTCTATAAAACGCGTCAACAATACTATAATCATGTAGTCATTATTGATTGGTTTCAAGATAATTTAACAACTTAATCACCAACACAACTAAATGATCGTCATTTTAGATCACAAACTGATTGAGGCTGAAATGTGTTCCATTTTGGATTCTAACTCATTAGTTTAAAGGTTGAACACTCACCACGAGAAATTGATGTCCTGGATTTTTATCTGCCTTAGCTTTGCGGTTTCTCATTGCTGAGGAATCTCATACTTTTAGAGAACTATCAGTTCAGTACTCCTCAGTTTTCACTAATGCACTAACTGATATCAGTCTGTGATGTAATCCACTTACAAATTCATTTGGTATTATTTGTATGCATCCTCCCATTGTCGTTTAGGACTGCGATCGATTAGTCTCTTGTTGGTTTATGTGCATTTTGTGTACACTGCCTCGATGTAGTTTTAAATCACAAGCTTTATGAGCAAAGATGGATGGTATCTAGCAGTGGAATTCAGGACGCACATCTCGTTTTATTTAGAACTCGTCAGTTGAATGTACCTGCATCACAGAGTTGATGTTCACTCCGGGAGATGACCACAGTACCGTTCGCTTCAGGACTCAGTAGCTAAGTGGATAACGCGATTGAGTTTACAAGCGAACTGTCCCAGAGTGAACATCAACTCAGTGATGCAGGGACATCCAGCTGACGAGTCCTAAATAGGACAAAACGCGCGTCCTGGACTCCACTGCTAGCCACCATCTATCTTTGCTTATAAATCTCATCAAGTTACACGACTTGTTAAAAATGGGGAAGTTTTTTGAAGCTATAATTAACATGAATCTAAACATTCATTCATAAATAAACATTTTAGAAGTCTAAACATTTCTAATGATGTTACCAATGTTCATTTATTTGTCTGTAATTAACCAAAGCTAAATATTAATAAAAGATTAAGTGTACACTTATACATGGGTAACCTAATATTTAATGTAAATTTCTTTACATTTTCCCAATTAATGTTCAATAAAAATTCACCATTATGACAAATGATCCAATCTACTTCAAATCACTTCATGTTTACAATGAAACTAAAACAAAATTCAATTCATAAATTAGTTGATTAGCATATAATTTATAAATTTGGCAATGATAGATTATAGTTGAATTCATGAGTCAATTTGAAGCTAGAACACCATAGAAAGCCTGGAAGCATTGGAAAGTGACTCAATTTCGTGGATTGTGTGAAAGTAGACATTAACAGCGTTGGATGCCGGTCAGCTCAGTGGTCTAGAGCTCATGCGTTCGCGCACGAGACTGACAGGTCCTGGATTCGAATCTCGCAAGGCGGGATCCTGCAACACAATTCTGAGAAGTCTCATACTATGATAAAACAACCGTCCAATACTTTCAGGCTTTCCATGGTGATCTAGCTTCAATTGATTCACAAATTCAATTATAAAATTATTAAACTTTCCACAAATTCCCTTTCTGATAACAACAGATTATGAGAAGGGTTTTAATGGATATTCTAGTGATTTCAATCGTTGGGATCATGAGTCAATTGAAGCTATGCCACCATGGAAAACCTGAAAGTACTGGACGGCATTTCATCTTATTAAGGGACTCCTAAGCAGTGCACATCCACGATCCCGCCTCCCGTGAGATTCGTACCCAGGACGTATCAGTCTCGAGCGTGTGCGCTTAACCACTGAACCACTAGACCGGCATCTTTTCTGATATGAATCAGCATTTACTCACTAGTGACTGGCTTCAAGAGCTATTTCCTGGAGTTCTAATGAGGAACAGTGACCGTTGGAGTCGAACCAGGTTTGTTGTGAGATAGTAACTCACCAAAGACAATGCTGAATGTTCCGTTTATTCATAGATTAGTTAAAATAATCTATCCACTTCATTGCCTCAACATGTTCTATAACATTTATATCCCTTCTAAATTCTAACTATTAATCATTTATAATAATGAACAAATAAATATAAATACAATTGACTTAGAAAAAACCCCTTTTGATTTTAACAATATTAAATCACTGTATGACCTTGAAATTAGTCTGATATCATTGTACCATTTCCTTACTCAATAATAATAATCATAATCTATCAATGTATTCTAATGAAAATCTAACATAGAAATTAAACACCCCAAAAAAATTATTACAGAAAAATTAAAAAAAAACAACAACAACAACCAAGGAACCAATTAAAATTTGAGTAGAATTGAATTAACCAATTAGAAAAAAGGGGAAAAAAATGGTTAAAATTAGTTTAGAAACAGCATAAAAATACAGTAGTACATTTACATTGATATATTTGATATATTTAAAAAGGCATTTATTTAAGCAACATATATATTGAATAATATGGATATATCTA